TTGGTTTGTAATTCAGGTTGTGTGTGTGTTACTGGATCGTGTTTTCAGTAAGTTCTCAGTCGGGTCTGCACTCCCTGCGTTTGGTGTGATAGTCGAGGGTGACGTCCACGGCGTATGTAGAGGCTTCGTTCCGAAGTGGGAAGTCCAGTCCGGGTACCCCCGCTAGTTCCTGGCGGAAGGGCAGTAAAAGCCGGAGTGGGAGGCACTACCTGCAGAACCTCTGAGTGAACTTGTGAGACACTTTCCTCCTGAAATCCGAAGCGGAGGTCCTGACCGACCTCCGAGTTGTGCTTTTTGCCAGTTTCAGGTGTGTGTGTGTGGTGTGTGTGTTGAGTGACCAAGCTGTACTGTGCATCCTCCGAGCATCCTCCGAGTTGAGATCCTCCTCCGAGTTGAGCCTCCGAGTCGAGCACTGCAGTATTTCTGGGAGTGACAGTCGCCTAGAATTCAAACTCTACAAAAGTCTGTTAAACGTGACACTTTTACTCTGTGTGTTGCCTCTGTCCCTGTGGGTTCGATCTTTTTACCACCATACTGCAGTTTTAGCCTTTGGTGGGTTATTACACTCATATGTGAGAGTTATTCTAAAAGTGTGTTCTGTAATACACAAACCTTGGGGTAAAAATATCCCAACATTGACTATCCTTCTAGCTATTTTTAGCTAGGACTAAGGTTATTCTTTAACCAGAGTTAGAATTAACATCTATTTATCATTTTAAAATGAATTGAACTTCAAATAATTTAAGATTTGAATCTAAGAGTTTTCACACTCAATTTTGTTATTCTCTAAAAATTTATTTTTCTTATTTATTCCTCTTCTTGTGACTAGCAAAGGACCCATTAAATCAATCAAATGATCCTAATGGAGTAATATGGTGCAAGTTTTCACTCACCGTAGATTTATTTGCGAATGCTTGTCATACCTCACAACGTTACAGTATTCAAAACCAGAATTTTCTCCACTCTGATTCTTTTTGCACAATGTTTTCCACAAATGCCTTCATGAAACTCTTGTAATAACTGTGAGACTGTTGCTTTCTTCACATGACGGCAAAGAATAGTATCACTCCCGCAAAAATACAACAATTGATCTATCATGATATTAGATCAACTTTTATGAACAATCCTTGTTCTAACTTGTTTGGTTGCACCATCCAAAAAAATCATATAATCAAAATATTAAATTATATCTCTGAACTCTTTTGGTTGGTTATCAATGTTGATTGACATTAACATTGCATTAGAAAAATTGTCATTTTTTGAGACAATATCCATCTCCTTTTCCATTTGTGAAAGAAAATTCACATTTTCATGTTTTCTACCCGCGCAATGTATAATCTTTAAGTCAGATTCTTGAAACAAAATTATACACCATGCATTTCTTCTCGTAGCGTTTGTTTTGTTGAGAAGATAAACCAATGTTTGATAGTCTGTTAGCAACATAGTACTTGTACCAATAAGTAGTGTTAAAAAAATTTCAATAGTAAAATAACACCTGGACCTTCTCAATCTGTTACCGTGTAATTCATTTCTGCCAACGTGAGTTGTCTACTAGTATAATATATGAGATGGTCGTATCCTTCCTCATCCAACTGGCCCAACATTGTGCCCACTTCTTCTCTAAATGCATTTGTAAAAACATAAACGGTTTTTTCGAATCCAAAATACATAAAATTAATGTTGAAAGTAATACTTGCTTTAGCTTCTCAAAAGCCTCTAACGCATGTGATGTAATTTGCGGAGAAGGAACCTCATCAGTCAAAACCTAGTTAAAGATTTGGCGATCATTGTTAAAGTTCAATGAACCGACAATAATAATCAACATTCTCCAAAAAAGCTCTAACCCCATGTTTGATAGTATGAAATGACACTTCTAACAAAACTTGTATTTTCTCTAGATCAAATATCAATATACTTTTTTGAGACAATGTAATCAATCAGTCGATCGGAGAAAAAATTAATTTTTCCTGTTTTTGAGGTAAGTGTGATATCCAAAGTGTTAAAAAACCTTTTTTAACTTCTCCAGATATGAGATTTGATTCCTGTAAATTCCAAAATCATCCATGAATTCTCTTACAAAGTGTCATAAGTACAATTTCAAGACTTTATTCATAAGTCTTTGAAAAGTAGCTCGAGCATTGCAACGTCCGAATGACATTAGCTTGTAACAAAAGATGACCCATGATGACGTGAAGATAATTTTCAATTGATCTTCTGCTGCGATCTTCACTTGATGTTATCCTTTGTATCCTCCACAAAGAATTGCAATCCATGACCTCACACCTTTTCAAGACTTTTTTGCAAAATGAAATGAAATACCAATCATTTTTCTTGGCATCATTGAATTTTTTGTAGTTCACGCAAATCCTTAACTTCTCATTTTTCTAACACGCTAACGTAATTGAAAATACCCACTGAGTATTCTCCACGTGTCAGATGAATCCGGCTTTGAGTAATTTTCTAATTCTAATTTTACCACTTTATCTCTATATGAATCTCATATTTGAGATTCATATAGTAAGGTTTCTGCTTGACAGTCTTCGCCTTCTATACAAGTTCAATCTTGTGCGTTTCTAAGATGACAACTTGCAAATTCTTGTATTAAAGGTAAAAAGATGATAAATGTATGCAACATGTGGCGGATTCAATCTTGCTCTTGAGACAATAATTGTGTATACCATCGAATTTGATTCCATCTCCATGCTATTTGTCAATCTTCATATGTCAAAATCGGCTTTTCTCTGATTCGCGTTGCAAGCAGTTTTTTAAATAGTGCAATTACTTCCTTTATAAATGCTTCTATTGCGTAAAGTCATATTTCATCATTTGTTGAATCATCCGTGTAAATTTCTTTGGATTCTTAATAGTCAGCCTCTCATGTATCAAAGTCGGATTTATTTGATGCAAATGTGTTTATTAGTGAAACAATAGAAATACATCGTCGATGCGGTCTCTTTTCAATGGTCATGTTCTATTCGACCCAATAATTTTGTACATGATTTTTTTGTAAACCATGGATGGACTAAGATCATAAAGTATGATTCATCCTCTTCTAACACCATATGAAGATTGATTGCTGTGAAAATGCCTAAAACATTGATACATACATTAGATTCTTTTATTGGCCATTTTAAGCTAATGTGCAAACATCTATCAATTTAAAGGCTTATATACTTCATTGTTAATATGATCATCACATTACATCCGCTCTCATCCATACTCTTATACATGCAATGGTAGTTAAGCCTCGGCAAGGTAATATAAAAGGTAATTGGGTAAGGCATGAATCTCTACCTTTAGCTTACCTTTTACCTTACTCGCAACACTACGGTTTAGTTTTATCCTTTATCTCTACCTTAGGGTAATTACCCGGTTACGTGATACGGATTCTTAAAGGTTTAAAAGTTACCCTTACGGTTAACCTTTTATGGTTACCTGGTAAATCTACCTTCACTAGTCTGGTAGACGCATCTAGTGAGGTTGGCTGTGGAAGAAATGGCATTGTTTCTGCTTGGAACTTGCAAGAACTGACCCACTCACTATACACAAGATTGAGTTGGAGTTAACTGTAGCCTCAAACGGTTACATCTTCGAAGAGAAGATCATGGCAATGCGAGTCATTGACTAGAGGTATGTAAAGGAGCTATGCAAGACAAGTCGATAGTTAGCTTCACAACTACACAGAACCACCTTGATATATGGAGTATCATTTACGAGATTATGCAAAAGAGCTATTGAGGTCGGAATTATCAATTCGATTTAAACATGCATTGTTGTATTCTAGATCCCGTCGTCAGGGAGAATGTGTAGAATGCCACTGAGTAATTATAACAGTATCCACGTTTTGCTTTTCGCGAGTACGAGGATCGTCAGGGAGAATGTGCAAAAGTACATCGAATAATTCTGAGAGTGTCCACGTTTTTCTTTTTTGCGAGTTACCAGGTAATTACCAAGTAGCCCATTTGGTTCTAACTTTACCTTACCTTTACCTTACCCAATAGCCAAACCTCTTACTTTTACTGTTACCTTTTACACTTTTACCTTGCCGAGGCTTAATGGTAGTAGTACTACCATTACATCCAACATCTATGATCGGATCATACTTTTGTTTACTACAATAGTATTGAGGTATCAAAGAATATATGGACTTTTGTATGTCGATAGACTTTTTTTAAATCTTTACAAATTGATGTAACCATTGCCATAATTTGTCCGATGATGATATTTTTTTCTTACTTTTCACATCATTTGAAATTGAATACAAACCGTGATTTTGTGATATTGGAAAATCTTGAAAACCAAAAATACATCGTCAAGATTTCTTTAATACTTTCTTTTTCGCCAACTCCTTCGTATGTTTCATGCTCTGCGGTTGAGATTCTTCTTGTCTTTGGCGACAAAGCAATGACAAGAAAAATTACATCGACCTCAATACGTAAAAATTGTTCAAAGTTAGCAATCAAATCTTCCAGAGAATCATCTAGAATCACTCAACCCTTCCATTTGTCATCCGCAAAAGATGCCCGTCTCAATGAAAGTACTCCATGTGCATCACCATCTTACTATGCATCACCATTTGAACAATTATCAAATGTGGGTTATTTTTTGTAAGCATAACATAGCATCTTGTTTTTGTCTTCTTCTGAAGAGCGAAAGCTCCGAGGTTGGAGGAGGTGGACGCTAAGTTGTGTCATATGCGATACAAGTTGTTTCATAGTAGTTTTCATTCTCAAAGGAGTGTTAGATGAACAAGGTAGTGTACTTTGCCATGAAAAAATCTCCAATGGCTTGCGATAAACCTTTACAAGATTTTCATGTGACATTATTGATCTCAAATCTAAACTTGATTATTTTATTTTGCAATACGGTTAACTTGTTCTAAAATGTCTCCATCCATATTTTACTTGTTGAAGTAATTGAGGCAACAAACTAATCATGAAGTGTTTTAACATTAATGACTTTATATACTCAAAAATTGATTATAGACAATATGTCCTTGGGGGCATGCATGCTTTGAATTATTAGATCTAACAAATTTTACATTACCCTTCATCTTTTACTCCAACTCTTGTTTTGCTTGACTCAGCTCACATATGAGTGTCTTGTACGAGTCTTTCTTTCGAAACCCGATAATAAATCTTACACTCAACTGTTCCCAAGATAACTTAGTAATATCTGACTGTCTTTCATACCATTGAGACACTCTTCCTTCCATAAACTCTAGAAAATATGTAAACTACTTTTCAAAAGTTCTACTTCTAGTCCTTATACATGCCCTTTTGTAATTTCTTAAGAACCACTCTAAATCTTTGTTCTTCATCCCGGTGAACACTGCAATTGTCATTCTTCTTTCCCCAAACCAATGCAGAGTTTCTCCAAAAGTCGCACAATCCACCGCACGCTCAAACGTCACCGTTAGCACCTTTAAGAAGAAGAGAAGAAGGAAATGATGAGCACACATCTTGAACGAGGCACGCAACGCAAAGTGACAACCTCCAATCAAAGCCAAAGGCCGCAAGAGAACTAGGCAAGATTTACAAGACAAATAAGGAAATCACGTCCCTGGTCGCAAGACGACGGCCTCTAACTCCTCTCCCGCTAAAGCTGCTACTCCCGCCGATGGTGCTGCAGAGGCGAACTTCCCTGGATCACCAGCTCACCTCGCTCACTCTTGTTTGTCAAAACAGAGAGGAACAGACCGCCACTGCAGGAAAGTCACCACTTTCAAATTTTACAACGGCGAGTTGTGTCTCATTCAATTTGGGCGAATCGGATATCATTCAAATGAGAAGGACAAAAACCCTAATCCACCAACCACCCTGGCTCTTTCTTGCAATCCTAAACCTAACGAGCCGACATCTACAGTCCAGAATCATATTCATTCCTCAAATCTCTTCCCAACGGTCACTGTTACTGAACCAAAGTGTGGATTCGCTTGGAAGTGAACAAGAAATCACTCATAAACACTCCGTGTTAAACCGTGAAGGCCGAAGCTTTCTACACAAGAACTAACACGACGAATCGACTATCCCCGTACATACGAGGCACTCGCGGGGTCCTGATCTTTACTAGAGAGTCTTATATATACCCTAGTACTTAGGGTTAAGGAAGTTTCGCAAAAAGCCTCCCAACCCTGCTAAATTTCGCACAAGACACTCGAAACCTTGAGTTTAGCTGTCCTTAGTGGAAGAGAAGTTTCTAGAAACCGGACTTGTGTGTCGAGTTCCAGAATTAACAACTCCAAGAAACTAACTACTCAACAACATGCACACAACGCTGCCTTTAACCTATGAGGGTCCAGATTCAGATCTTAGAATTTGATGAGCAAAACAAGCTCAAAATAAACCTCCGCCAAGAGAATCTTTGCGACAATTTGATACATACTAATTGTAACAAGAAAACAAGAGAGATGTTCATTCAATCGTAGCGGATAGAGAGACACACAATAGCAGACAAACAAATACGTGGTTTACCAATACGGATTTTTTTATTCCACGGAATTTTTCAGTCTTTACTCACAGAATAGTCTAAAAATGTCATTGTCATTGAGCTTCGGTGACTTCTCATATGAAATTACGGACGAACAACTCAGTTAATTACGATTAAGCTAACAAAAGTTAAATCAAGATCGGAGTTGATTTCTTACACAGATTTGCAAGGAAAAATATGATTTGGTTTTGATCGGGCTCGGTTCTAATGGCAGGCTTGGAACCAAGGCTACCATTTAATTATTTATATTTCAGTCAGTCGCTTGTATTTTCTCCTAGATTCTTCATAGTTGGATATGAAGGTTAGAAGCTTGCTCATAATCTGATAAATTTAGGAGCTTCCTCCAATAGCTTGTTAACCTCCATCAAGGCTCTCATACCAAGGTGCATTCATGAAATTGTAATAGTTAGTGGTTTAGCAGAATCCAGAAGTCATGGAAAATTGTAATTCAAAAGAATGTAGTTACACATAACGTCCCCTAATGGACTTTGTAACAAGTAGGTGGCAGTTATCAGTTGTAGAGGAGATCGAACTACCCCACCTCGTGCGACACCTTCTGACGAGTCCGTAGGACATGTCTACCGGCTTGACGTCTATACACTCCAGTAATTGTGTCTACACTATGATATTTTCCTGGTGAGTGAATCTATGTTTTTCAGCCTTTTGACCTTTTGGGTCCACGGGCTTCATCTATTTACCTAGGTATTTGCTACTCTAAAAAAATTCTGACTGGTTGTTATCCTTACTTGATTTTGTTACATTAAAAACCTATCCCCATTCTCATAATACAACCACATCTGAGTCTTGAAATATCTATAGTCTGCATAGCGGGTATTATACTTTCTATCTCAGTTCATTCTGACATAAATTCTAGACCACTACAAACTAGAGAAATTTGCTTGATGAGACCCCATCAGAACGTTGACTCCTTGATGGGACCTAATACGTTCCATTTTATCCGATGGGACCACTCCGAGGTTATGTTCTTGTAACTTACTTGTTTCCAATTCAATGAAGGAAAATTATTTCTTCCCGAATTTAAGTTAATCAAATTTTCTATGGCTCCCAATCTACATCGTGGAAGAGCCCAACTTTTTGAGTCCCATAATGATTTTACAGTTATAATGTATATGCATAATCTACTTACTCCTTACTTTTTTTTCTAAATCTCTTGGTCGAAATCATGTCTGTTGCGTATTTTGGTATGTGAAGAGAATTTCACTTTTCAACAAAAAACCTCAGTGTTTTTCCTAGCCCGGTTTGAAAGCAATTACAAGAACTCACAGTAGAACATCGGTGACGGTGGACTGAATTGCCCTCAGAAGAGTCCTATCGGGTAAAATGGAACTTATTGGGTCCCATCAAGCAGTCAACGCTCTGATGGGATCACATCAAGCAAATTTCTCCTACAAACTACTTACGTATTGTATAAAATGTACAATGAACGTTTCCTATCGTTATTGAAAGGTTGATACAGGTCGTTACTTTGCTTAATTTTAGGAACATGTTGTTTAGAACGGTTGCTGAACTAAATGTTGTTCCTCACGGTTGAGATGTAACTTCTAACAATTTTTTGGTGAGAATATGTAAAAAGACACGGATAAGTAGCAACTGAATATTAAGGTTCTTGTTAAACTCCAAACCTCTTTTGTTTTATGGAGTAAAGCCAGGAAGCCTGTTGTTTTGTATGTTTCATGTTCATTGAATAAATGTATCCCTAATCATGTAAGAGTATGACGCAAACTCTGTTTTCCAAGGTCTCTAATATGTCCAATCTCGCCTACTGATAATGAGCAATAATTAAGCTCCTTTATGCCTAATCCACATTATAATTGTCAATTACTTATAGAAAAGGTAATATGATAACGCTGATGATATTGGTAATAGCTAGAGCAAGTACAAATCACTTGTATGCTGAAAGTGTACATGAAATATATAATTTTTTAACGGATTCTTTTGACACAGTGAGAACATTAAAAAAAAATTAGAGTACAAATGCGTTGAAAAATTAGTCAAATTACCTCATTATCCTTAAATATAAGTGAGTGAAAAGATGATTAAAAACAGAACTTGTTATTGGACATATATATATGGTTTCCATGAGTTGAAATTTGTCCACATATCTCCACGATGTACGTGACGTTCATAAAGAATATGTAATCAAGTTCGTTCCTTAAGAGCATTTCTTTTCAACGCATTTTAATTCAATGCTCAGTTTTTCATCATTTTAATTCCAAGCAATTGAGATTAAATTTACTCTGATGAGATTGTAATATTGAAAAGTAACACGCAGTACTTTATTCAGAATATGAGTGGATTATATATCACAATTAGCCTTTCCGCAAGTGGTCTCCCTGAGAACATCACTAGACATTTAATCTGTAGGTTTTGTAACTTTATATTGAGTTTTCAAAGAATTGGCTTCACTATCACTTCTTCGGTTCTCCGATAGCTCGCTACACTTTACCAAGATAGTAGCAAAGATATGTAATACTGCTATGAATGGCATGTTTAGGGTCAGTCGCAATCTTGTAATTAATAGTGAGCAGGAGGGGGGTAGCCAGAATATGAAAATCGGGGCCATGAAATTCAAATCTAACTCTACACTAAACAGCACAAAAAGTTACAACTATGACGACTTAGCTCAGGTTTCTGTGTCATGGTTTGACAGCAGGATCCCTTCAGAATTTTGTCGTGTTGTATAATATCAGAACTCAAAAGCCATGGCTTCCTTGGGCTCCCATCGCCTCCCTGCCTATGCTACAGTCCCGGAGTATGTCATATGTATACTTCATCTCTCCCGCGATACGTTGCTCTCGTTAAAAATAGTGAGTTTTAAGGTGAATATATTTTATGTTCCGACAATTCTCCCGATCTAGCCAGTCAGGGCTAAGACGAGTGACAGTTCCACTCCAGAGTTCGAATCGCCTTCTTTGATACTTAATCTAAAAGCACTATGTGCTAGGCTTTGCTTAGAACATCTTAGAATGATGGGAGTCATTGTTACTAAGGGGTACTAGAACTTTTTACAGTTCATAACTATTCCAGGTTCTGAATCCTTCTGACCTTAAAGGTCATCATTGGACTGCGTTTAAAATTATGAACCACAGCTTTGTCGACGTTTACTGCGAGGTTTAAAGCAGGCCAAGAGAATCTTCAACTTCCCAGTTTTCTTCGGCATTGACGAGTGCAAATCAAGCATATACGAGCATCAAACTTATTCTTCATGCCAGCGCTACTTCGCAAATTCCTAATGAAAGTTCTGATAGATCCTATCCCTTCAATCTATTGATTGAAGGGTTTACAGTTTCGGATGTCCTGCACCGTTAGATTGGTTTAGGTGCTTCATGCTCCCTGACTTCGCCTAATTGTTTTTCGTTCAGAATGTGGAAAACAAATTACATGTACGTACCGGGATAGTGAAAATTGATTGTAACTTCTCCGGGTCTTCCAGAAACGAGCTCGTACTTAGAAACAGCTTGCCGATGTTAGTTCGTCGTGATGAAAGGTCTTGGGCAGAAAGGATTTAGATGTCTTCTCGGTATTATGTTACAATTTGGAGGGAGAAAGCGTACCAGCACTGAATGCATGAGGAAGGTTCCCTGATCGAAGGCCGAGGAGACTCGGGCGGAATTACAATCCGGATCAAGTTCCACATCACCCATAGAGGATCATGGATAGACTTACCGTAGAATCCTTGATGTCGTAAATCTGAAGAGACTCACCTGCTCACGTCTCTATGTACAATAAAAACAGAGCCACGTTGTGATGAAAGAACTAAGCGTCCGACGAGGGGATTGTGAGCCCACTTACCTGGATAGAGATTACCTCGTGTTTCGACAGATCGTTCCACTGCGGCCATGCGTAAATTCATATGTATAGCGATCTCTCACTTCTCTTACCTTCTCTTGCTGAAGAGAGAGAGCGCGCGGGTGGGGCGGGCATGCTCAATCTAGATTATCCGAAGTCAGAGAAGTTATCATCATGCCATTCTTGAACGCGTGGGGGATTGAGACCTACGGGATTCGGATTAGCCCACGTATGACCTCCTACGCCATAGAGCTGGTCTTCCTGAGACGTCCTGAAGTGCGGGACGTGCCGTGAATCACGATACGAGAAAGTACGATACGGGCTCGGACCAGAAACTCCGCTGCCTGCAATACCTGAATAATGGCCAGTCGCGTCCGAGAATGCATCGTCCAAAGGTCTGTTTTCCCAGTTCCAACCACGGCTCCGGCGTCGCGGAGGACTTCTGGGGCGGTCTCTGTAATCAGGACCTCCTGCATACCGATTGCTGGAAATGGGCCATCTTGGGTCCGGGAAGGGAACGACGGACCGGCCTGGTGGGAAGAGCCCCTGTTGCTCGTCTCGTTCTCTTTGTATGAGCTCATCCCGCGTGTAGTGACGGCTGGTGGCTGTAGATTCATACTCATCGTAGTAGCGAGGGCCGAGGTGTTCAACGAGATAAGGGCGAGCGAGCGGGTCCGAGTCCTTTTGGCGTAAGGCTGCTCGATTATCCAGCGCGTTCTTACCCAGGTATTCAGACATTCCGGATTGTCGATCGATACTACTGTCGGGCCGACCAGCCCAGTAGCTTGACGCCTGCCTGTCATCGCTCGCAGCTCTGGCTTCCATAAAATTGAGGTCTCGATGACGGCCCGTGGCTGGTGGAGGCACCGGGACCCCACGAGCTGATCTCGGGCGACTCCGGGAGCTGGATGGTCTTCCCACATAGCCCTCGACGAAGGTCGCGCTGTGCTGAGGGCTGCCCCCCGACGAGACCTGGGGTGATAGTGGCAGATCGTAAGAAGGATTTCCATACAGAACCATCTGTTTGAGATCCATGTCTTGCATCTGACGAGTGAGGGAGTGGGTCCCATCATGGGCAGGAACGATCACCTGCATCTCGGGAGATCGAGACCTGGACCTGACGAAACCCCGAGGAGGAGAACGAGAGCGAGATCGGACAGCCGGAACGAGCCGTTCTGAGGCACTGTTGGATGCACTCGAGGAGTAGCCATCGTAAGAAAGACCTTGTAAAATTCTACGGTCAAATGGTGGCAGTGGATCATAATCGGCAGAATTGTAATCTCCGATATATAATGATTCATATCTGCTGGGTGGTGGACCTGACCTGCCTCTGCTATTCGACATTTTGGCCGTGCAGAATAGCAGGCCGAAATTGCTGCATGCATGACAGATACAGAAGAAAAAACTGTACGATGATCTTGAACGTATATTAGGTGATATTACCCATGGTAAGGCCAAGCGTTGCAACGCATGAGCTGCGAATTGACTCTGAAATCGGACTGGAAAGAAAATTGGGACTCGTTTACGGCCCAAGGGTAGCCAGCTTTGCGGGAACACGAAACGGATCAATCGATGACTTGGATGTCTCGGCCATAGATGAAATAAACAAATTTCCGACTGCAACGTAGTAAGTTAAATACATAATCCTACCGCAGCACAAGCTGGCTAAAATTGACCTCTAATAGATGCACGCGTTTGAGAATTTCATGCGTATAGCAAGCAGCAATCCATTACTTCTTTGATATTAAGAGGGATATGTGACGCGATCAATCTGAGATTTTTCGATTTATACATGTCCTATTGTTTTGCAGCAGTTATATAATTTATGGTTAAAAAGTCTTGTAAGATATCTATAAGAAGCACGTATATTTCCTTCGAAACTCCTTCTCAATACGTTTGCACTTCATGAGCTCACTTGATGGATATTGAGAAGGTATTACTTGACGGCCCCAGTGCGAATTGAAGACCACGCACCCCATAGATTCTACCATATTTTCACCTGCACCTTTGACAACACCAATTGTGACTTTCTTGACCAGTTATTGAAGACTAATCTTAATGAATAGCCGAACTCTTGTCAAGACAGAGTTCAAATCATTCCAAGAATTCTGAACCATTCCACTTCATTTTCTCGAGTTGCATGGTTCCACAGAACGACACGAACTTGGGCAATCATTCTGGATACCCTCCACCTTCCAGCATTGTTTCCAATTGCAATATGACACCTCAGATGGCTATGAATTGCGTAGTCTTTTCACTTCATAAAATCGGACCAGCCGACTCCTCCGAAGCAGACGGTAGTAAAATCCTCAGTATTTCATAGAAAAAGTTCAGGCGCGGATAGAATGATGGAATCTTTTACGGATGATCCATGTATCGCTTCAGGCCTTCGATCAGAGAGAATCGTCAAATTAAAATGGCAAAGACTAGACCGCTTTATCGAAGGAACAGTACTCACGTCATGGCCACATTTGGATTACCAGGCCTGATGAAGATTATCCAAATTTGATAGCATTGAGCTTGTTCCCCTAGCTATGAGGCAACATTTCTCATGATTCGCATCCCTCATAACCAGCCTTATATTCGGAGGGTTCAGTTACCCAAAAAAATCAGTTGTTATGATCAGCACATAAACAATAAGGGGTGCTTTGTCGAAGAAAGGTTCAGAATGGTGAGCTCTGACATACTGCTGCTATTTTCGTGCCACAAGAACTGCTGCGACTACCGCAATCTTTGGAAAATACCTCTACCTAGCTAGGGCGGGGTGTTCCAGAATGACATTTGGTATTGAGACCTATGGTTTGGCCACTTGGTAGAGTTCGAGATTCTTCTTCTCAATTCATGTCGAACTCGCAATCTTATATGAATTTTGGGCCAATATTAGGGGAAAAAAATGAAATATATATATATGATTTTCTAATATTGTAGAGTCAAACTCAGCTCTCTTTGTAATATACCCACCTCGTATCGTTCTCAACGCCCAATCTTAGCTTCCAATGATCAAATTTCAAGACTGTCCACATTAGAGTTCTCAAGCCGCAAAATTTAAGAAGAAATGGAACCTCAGTCACTGCCTTGGAAATTAAAAGCGCACCTGATCAAGCCTCCTAGGACATTGAGCACCTGCGTGGTATCAGGAAGAATTACATAAGATAACTGTTTTCAATCGAAATAATCACTGAGAAGTATGCTGCTTAGGACACGCAGTCCTGGGCATGTTATTGATGGAAAACCTGACTATTTTCTACCTCTCCTTGTTGTTGAACATGGAACATGTAGAACATTGTACTCTGTAGAGGAGTTTTTTTTAAAATAATATGTTTCTGATTCCAGCGTTAATGAGCTTGGCTGAAATTTCTTCATATTTCGCGATGGCCTCTTCGGTTTCTTGTCCTGTATGCCTGAAGAATGGCGGGTAATGTTTCGGCACTGCCATTCCCGAAGAGTAAACCGGGAACTCTTAACAGGGAACAATTTGATTCTAGTCCTATGATGCTGTAATCACTGGTAATGAACCTCGCCATTCTTGCTGCAGCAGTTAAAGCCAGATTCATACATTAAGATCTGGATCCTCTAGAATTCCGATCACGACGTATACTAACTGTACCTCGGACAATTTGTCCGGTAAAATTACATGCATATTGTGATAATTTCATTGTTATGTAGCAATGCTTGACCATTCCATTTTAAGAGTCGAGAAAGAGCTTGGTACTGCAGAACATGGCGGTTGCTGGTGGTGGCCCAGGCATTGCTATATTGTGTATCGCGACCGGGGTTTACAACTTCTCCTCGCCAGTGTTGGTTCCCAGTATTCTGGGCATTGTTTTATTTTTATCCACAGCAGCTATTACAATGCAGTTCAGTTGCAGTTCACAAAGATTGAGGAATCTGCTTGGAGCATATATTCTCAATCTATGCTCCAAACAGATTCCTCAATCAGAGCAGACGAACTTACGCAACACTCTGAACTGCCCCAGGTCAATGCGCTCATCATAAGAAGGGCTATCAGCTACATCTGTCCAGCTGTACCCAAAAGCCCGGATGAAACAACCTAAGACAACAACCAACAACAACCTTTACGGTCGAAGAGAAACAACCAAATTCATCAGCATCACCTAAGATCAAGGCGCAGCCAGTCCATAAAACATTTAAACCACATGCGCAGTGATTTTCGTATGTATGGTATTCCTAATCTTCTGGTCTGAGTTGGTTTAATGTGGCTCAATTTTAATTTCAGTTTACCTTCAGCAGCTCAGATCCAGAGAAGCTAACGTCTTAGCTTCTTGTCACAGATCATATGAATCCTGGATTCAGAAATCAGATTCCGCAGTCACGGACTCAGTCTACCTCCGAGATTCAACATGGGCAGCGCAGGTATACCATTTCTCTCTCATTATGTTAAATGGACATTGAATTCGGAACAGCTTCTTCTCTAGCTTCGAAGGCGTCTCTGGGACTTTGATCTCTATATGATACAAGAGATCGAAGTCCCAACAAACGCCTAATCGCGCCAAGCCTGTCACGGTGTTCAAGAACTTCCAAACGGTATTGCCCTTATGGTGGCAGCACTGGAGATCCCAGATCATTTTCTTGTTGTGCTCATGTTCCTCAAATTGCGGTACAGAGTCGGCAAAGAGGCTTGCTGCGACTATCGGGAACAGCAGGGTAGCGGCCCCGAGAAACCATTTGAATGCCACTTTGATACCGCCCCGTAAACTGTGTAACCCACGGCATAGCCACATATCGCTCCAGTGATGCCAGCCAGTGCGTACGCAGTGCCCGAACCATCGAGATCGATCCCTCCGAGGAATATAACTGTCTCCACACTAGGCTTGGCCACGGTCCGGTCCGGACCGACGGTTAATCGTCGGGACCGGTTAACCTGTCCCGGAGAAAAATTTCCTCTGGCATCAGAATTAGAGCGAGCCTCGCTGGTCTAATTCTGCTGGTAAATTTTTTTATCACCCAATTCGATAAGTGGATAATCCCTAGCATAAATCTCGAGGTCGGATGTGTTTCTCTAGCTTCCTTGCACCCTGGCGCAAAGTCGAAGTCTCTCCAATTCGAGAGCATTTTCATCTCCACTCTAAACACCCTGGCAATCAAACCACCAACAAGACCAGAATCACAATCCGCTCGGCACGACAGGACCCACGACCGACGACAATGAGCTACAATCGCTAGATCAAACTCAATCCACACGCTCCTCAGCTCTACCTACCTCAAACCCTTCAAACAATTCATCAAGACTCTCGCCTCTGCCGAGAGTCTTTAAAAAGCAGCCAATTGCTTCTCATCTTCACTTTCCTCTCCCGGCACTCTTCGCCCGATCCTCCCTCGCTCCCTAACTCACGCAACGACGGTGTACTCACTCAGAAAGCAGCCTGCCTCCGCCTCTCGATCTCGTCACAAATGCATTTTCCGCGCGCGCTCCATACTTTCTCCGGTTAAAACCTCGGTTAACCGTTAACCGATATGGCAAAATGCCGGACCGGTTAACCGGACCGTGGCCAAGCCTACTCCACACCTTCGCGGATGACTTCGCTGATTGGCGCGTACTGTTGTTTTGCAGGTTGACGTATAGCTGGACGGTGTCAATTGTAACCTTACTCAACCGTTTACACCAATTTGGCCCTCAAAGTGTCCACTCTTATCATGGAATTGCGATGACCGTGATGAGTACCACCGCCATGAGACCAAGAGTTGCCTCCCATAGCATCTCCGTGTGATACCAAGCTTTGTTAGCAGCCCTCTAGTATAGAGACAGGAATCTAGCAGCCGCCGACAAAGACAGAAAAACGCATCCAGAGTTCCCGCCCACATCTGCTTGTTCAATTCCGATCGAATACCACGTCCTCCACGACGACGTTCAGCAGAGACAGCATGACCGATATAATTATCAACTCCTCCAGTATCTCCCGATAAAAGAGGTTTCTATTTTTTTCCGAATTTCATATGATCATTAAAGATAAGTTTTACTCATCTTCTTGATTGATCTTTCGGGTCTTTTCCCTTGTTAGTGGTTTTTCGCTTGTTTTGTGTTTTGAAGCCTTTTGACCCTTTGGGTACCCCCGGCTTGATCTATTAACATTTACAATTTTTTGACACAATTTCGTGGAAAACTAGACTTATTTCCAACCGTCTATGCATTTTTTTTAACCTTTTTACATGATTATATACTAGCTCAATGATTCCTTTAAAAGGCTCATATGCTTGATGATATACATAAGTCTATGTGCAAAATACTCATCATTTTTCTTCATAGTATTTGTGCTCACAACGTCATGTTGATGTTTTCGTGTTTCAATTACACACAAAAAAGTCACATCAAAATATATATTTGTAATAAATTTAATCAAATTACAAGCCATATTGATTCAAAACT